CCCCGTTAGGCAGATTTGAAAATTGCGTGCATGAAAATGGCATTTTTCCTTGCACACTAAAACTTCAGTATTTAGGGTAAGCTTATCATGAGAAGCTGGGCATAGTGCTGAAATCCCCATTATTAAACCCCCCCTCCTCAAATGCTTTTTTATTTTTTTCCACTCCGATCCGATCAACGTGGAGACGATAGGCCCCTGAGGCTGTGCGCCGGAACGGCTCTGAGGTTGACACACGACCAGTTTGGTGCGACCCGTAGCCTAGACCAGTGACAAATGAGTGTACTGAGCCAGTTTTTCAGGCGAGGGAAGAAAAGATCTAAGCGCACCAAGACAGCGCATGGTGAAGCAATTTCTCAACGGGGGGGGGGGGGCTGATTTCCCTTCCACAGTAGCGGGTAATTTTTGAAAATATGCTGCATCAAAATTGGCTATTTTTGCTGCGCCCCATATTCACTTTTCATTATTAGTGTGTACCGTACATAGTCAGGTATAGACCAATCCCATTTCAGGGCCCTTCTCTCTTAATTTTTGTACTCTCCGAATCAGAGTGGGTCATGGCCCCTTGTGCCTCCACCTTAGCTACGCCTACTGTCCTCATTCAAGCACTTGACGCGAATATTCGAATTAGTGTTGACTTTTGTTGTTAGCAGTACCACTGCAATGTCCTCGCATTTATTTCCCATATGAACTGTTTCAAAGTTCCTCATTTAAAAGTTAAAAAGGAAAAATATTTTTTTGAAAATCAGTAGAGGCCCGCCAAATAGTTGAAATGAAATCGAAATATAAGATCGTACGGGAAAAACTCAGTGATAGATGTGTTGAACTGCCACTGAATAACATACAATTTATTTAACATTAAAAGATTTTACATCGTTTCAGAATACAATAGCCGCTTAAGACTCACACTTTATAATTCTTGGTTCGTTATTTAAAACAATGTTTTAATTGCTTTCCTGCTGATGAAGAACGAACATACCATATTGAAACTTTGATTCTCAGACAGTAAAAAAACAAGAGGAATAGCTGCCAAAATAGCCGCCTCTTTAAAATAAAAAGATTTAAGCCATTGAAAAGATATTGTTTTGTGCCTCCCTGATAAGAACGGGTTACTATATATAGTGGTTGAAATCGGACTTTGAATAAAAAACGAGGTTTCTTGCCAAAATGGCCGTTCTATAAGTTCGAATAATATCAAAGTTATTCAGCAAAGCATTTCCATTTCTTTTCTTCGATCATATAAGAGTTTCAGAAACCATAAAATGTCAATCAAAGCAACTTTGCAACAACACAAATGCTGCAGGCAGAAGAAGAATTATCTCCTTTCTATTTAGGTCGAGTGTTTTGTCTGCTGCCCAGAAATCTCAAAATCCAAAGTCAAGGCTTTCTCGCTCGAAATTTTGAGGATTTCGTTGACATTAATTGACTTCACTAACTCCGTTCAACGAAAAGCAGAGAATGAGAGCCAGGAGAATCGTTGGTCCTGCGCGTCATTTGTTTTAAGAACGAAGTTTTAGACTGACAATGCTCATTTTAGAGGAATGTTCGTCAGCAGATGCCCCAGATGTAGTAACAGGAAATTGTGGCCAGTCCTGGTGAAAAGACGCGGTGGGAGAGGCAGCGAAAACAATTTTTTTTGTTTTTGTTATACACATTCACAGGCGTGGGGCGCATGGCCGCCTTGGCCCCCCTTATGCTACGCCAGTCCGCATGTCTTGATTGTTAATTAATCGTAACATTGTTATTAATCAATCGTTGGTAGCCCCATGTGTAAGTAATTACTGGCCTAACACACTGCTATAGAATCGTCTGATAACTATTGTACTAACAATGAGCGTGATCGTATAACATTGCTTATAACAATCATTTGGTAACATTGTACTAAGGACCAGTACCACACCGCGTACACAAACTTCTAGAGAGGAAAACACCACGAAACTCGAGAAGGTAGTTATGCCAACCGTAAATACAAACCATAATCATTGCTCCGCACCCGTTCTCTAAATACCCACTCTGGCTGATCCGGCATCCGCATTCCAACATCCTTCTCTTTCTCCCTGTTCTCTCTCCGTGCCCGCCTGCCACAGAAACAGCAGAACAAAAACAAACAAACAACAAAACATCATATGGGAGGGGGGATACCCCTCCCACACCCTACCCCCTCGGTCGCTTCTCTCCTTCGCCTTGGCCCCCCCTGTTTCCAATTGCTGGCTACGCCACTGGTTGCCGTTATGTCACAATCTCGTTTTTTTCTCATTTCAATCATTTATTTCAATTCAATTGGTAACAATGAGGCGCTTAATCTTTCCGTATATCCATAGATTGTAGCATACTTTATATAGTAAGATCACAAACTTCCCCACCGCACACGCAGTTATACGTATAGGAGGCCTACGCGCGCGCGTGTGTGTGCGCGCGTCTTATCTTCGTGTGAAGATTTGTGTTCACAGATGCTCAGTATTTGCTCAGAGATAAAACAATTTGTTTAAATTTCAAGAGCACCTGCGCATACGATCGAGTGGTTTAGTTTGAAAATGTGTCTATTCGGACTCGTAACCTACGCATTAGGAGCAAGCGATCGAGTAACTACCCTACCTAAATTTTAGAGCAAAAATATATGCCTACTAAATGTACATGACCCAAAATGTACATGGAGCAAAAGTATTTACTCTTCTTCATCTAGTTCTACACGTGGTGTATTTCTCCAAACGGTACGAAACGTATTCCTTTGCCATCTCTAAGTTGAGTTATGTAACAAAATTGCACACTTCCCTTCTAGTGATTTGCTGATTAGAAGCGACTTAATTAGAAGGTTTTATCTGTTTGATATCGGTGCAAAAGCTTTGAGCTTATGTTACAATGTTCATGATATACCGATGAAAATAAATTTTACTTGAACTTGAACTTGAACTTGAAGACGGATCGGAAGACGTACGGAAGACATATATAGGCAATATGAACAATTTCGGCATCCGAACTGAACAATAATGGATCCTATGATGAATACTAAAAAGAGGCACAGAATATGATAATATAATATATGATATCATTTTGATGAACATTCGTAGCTGCTTTGTAAAATACCCAATTCACTACTAAGCACGTCTATTATATAACGCATAAGACGTTGACGATGGTAATTTATTATTTTAATGCATATATGTAAATACTAGTTTAATACTGATTTCCTTTATTCGCATTTTTATATGACTCTGAGTCCTGATATGTCCTGATATGTTATATGTATGCTTGAAAAAATAAAGACAAATTATCACTGTTGCACATTTTTACTGTGTATATGTTTACTTATATTGCCGTCGTACGGCTCCACATTCGCAATCGGGCGATGGTAAAGATCGTCCAGAAAATCGCAAAGGTTCTATATATTGCCGCTGCACGTCGTCAAGGTTGCAGATTTTCTTCGTTTTCATCGGCGAGTTCCATCGAAATGGCAAAAGTGTGTTTGATCGTAATCGATGGCTGGGGCATTTCGGAAGAGAAGGACGGTAAGCTGCAATTAACGTGGATAAAAGTGATCACGGTTATTTCCGTCTTTCAGTTGTAATTTTTTTAGTATTGATTTCAATCATGTATGATCATGTACGCATCATCGCATGTTCGTTGCCCTACCCTTGAACCCCATGATCAGCATTACCATTAGGCATTACTACTACTAGGGCTTATAGGGTCTATGTCCCCCAGGCCCAGGGTACTGCCGGAACGTACCCTGGTCACTATTTCATTTGATATGGTTAGGGTTAGGATGAGGGTTCGGGTTAGCTCTCTAGTACTATAGCCCGCAGGATCGCTGCCGCAGGCCTGCCGTCAGCGATCCTGCGGGCCTATAGTACTAGAGCTAGGTTCGGTTAGCTCTAGTACTATAGCCCGCTTACATTAACTGCCGCTGGCGCAGCGGCAGTTAATGTAAGCGGGCTATAATACTAGAGCTAGGTTCGGGTTAGGGAGTAGGCGTAGGCGACCCCCTAGACTCGTTAGTGGGGTAGGCGAGGTACGGTCCGGCATATTAGATTATAGATAGTACCAGGGTACGTTCCGGTATACCGGACCGTACCCAGGGTACGTTCCGGCAGTACCCCGGGGGACATAGACCCTCTCAGCATTACTACTAGTACTACTAGGCCTACTTGCTTGTAGTTCACTAGGCCTAGTTCAGTAGTTGTACTCTGTAGACGATGGGCTAACTGTACTGTGTTAGGTATTTTACGGTTCCAGCAGTACGGGTAGAGCGGGAGACTAAGTAAAAATGCCATGACACAAAACTAATTCAGAAATCATTGACTCTGTGTGGAAAATTTTGAATTTCCCTTTTGAAAGTCACGGCACAAGGATAGACTTTAGAGAACATGGGTCCCAATAAAACCAATGTGCCTAACCCTAACCCTAACCCTAACCCTAACCATAACTCTAACCTATTATATTGATATAATATTATATTTATATTGATGTAAATGACATTGGTTTTATTGGGACCCATGTTATCTATCCTTGAACCAAAGTCACTGTGTCAGTGACGGTGAAGGGGTCATTGTCGTATATGTAGTACCCGAGGTGTCGGTGAGTATGTCGTCTACGCCTACTCCCTAACCCTAACCTTAACACCCTAACCCTAACACCCTAACCCTAACCCTAACCATATCAAATAGTTATCTCGGGTACATATTATACGCCATTATACGACAACGACCCTTCGTGCGTCAGTGACAGTGTGTGCCGTGGTTTGGAATCCGTGGCATTGGGGGAATCGGAATGAGAGGGACATGGTAAGAATGCCTTATGGAAAAATAAACTTTGCAGCATGCAGTTTTAATAGATTACTTAGAATTATGTTTCCATTATAGAACTTGGCAATCAAGTCTGTTTTAATGTTACATGCAAAATAGTAACCAATTCGTTTTAAATAAGTCTGTTAGTATTAGGCCCTAGTCCAAAACTACCAGATTCACAGATGAGATTGCAGGAGCAACTAGTCCAGTGTACTCCCTCACACTCACAGTCACTGTCCGCACTGTCAGTTTTTTGACTAACACGGATGAATAAACTGATAATTTGAATTATTTCTCTTTTTGTAAGTTGTTATAACTTTATTCTAAATATATTAACCACTAAGCCACCAATCATCAGATATACTTCTAACTAGTATTCGTTACCACACACGTTGATCAATAACATGCACACAGCCTGACTAACAATTGACCTTAGCCATTCCTTTCTTCTTCTTCTTCCTGAACTTTGCCGCTTCTGCTAAGAAGATATATATATATACGTGTATTCCCTCGTTTTCGTTGTAGGCAATGCCATCGCTGCGGCCGAAACACCGGTGATGACGAAGCTGTCTGCGGTCAAGGACAAGTACACGACGCTGGATGCTTCTGGCTTGTCTGTCGGCCTGCCGCGCGGCCTCATGGGCAACAGTGAGGTCGGTCACATGAACTGTGGTGCCGGACGTGTGTGCTGGCAGGTGAGTAGTGTGTCTTCGACTGTAGTATAACACCGCCCAGCAAACAGGTGATCTATGTGCACTCGTCCTCTTGTCTATTTGCTCAGGCAGCTCCTCCATGCATGCTTACCCAACCTGTTTTCTGTCGTCGACTCTGTCATCCCTCTTGGTTTCTTATTAAGTCAGGCCACCCTCCTGTCTACTCCTCCACATATTTAGTAAGTCATCTCACCCTCGTGTCTACTCACCCATCCATCTCGCCCTCATAACTACTCATCCAGTCAACTCGCCCCACTGCCTACTTTTAAAGTGTATCCACCCTTCTTACCTACCCACACAGGCAATTTATCCCGTCTGCTGTTCATGAGACACCTGTATTACACTAAATGTTAAAATCACAGAGGGAGAGTTAGTGTCCTATTATGTTTCCATGAGTATTTTTTTCGGACCGACACGAATATCATTCATCAGTCATTTTTCATTAATTAAACAACGAGCGTTAGCAAGCTTGGGATTTTTCTCTTGATCAATAGCTCTTGGGTTGCTAGTAATCACCAGAAAGTGCTGTATTGTGGGAAAGATGCCCAGATGTTTCCTTATATATTTAGTTGAATATATATTTTTAGTTGGAATACATTTATGATCTTAGGTACCGGTAGATGATTATATCAGCAGCATTGGGTACCATACATTGGTGTTCATTCTTCAGACTGAAATCATTATCAGTTGCATAACTAAATGTAAGACAAGTAAGCGGATGGTCTGTAGCTCATATGCATGATGCCCCATATGTAATCTTAATTGTATTCTTATAGATCATTTCCAGCCTGTTTGGGTATTTGCCATCAAAAGAAAGAATATGCACGGTGTACGGTCTGCTAAATAAAAGCTGCCGTCGTTTGGAAATGCTATACATGCTATTTTAACAGCCCGTTCCTCTCCCTAGAGCTAGCTATATATATCTGACATATGGCTTGGCTGGGGTAACTGCCTCACCACACAAGCTGAAATGATAAAGGTCATATTCTGGCATGGCATGCCTGGTTAGTTTGGGTGAAGAGAAAAAAGGGAGCAAACATATTCTTGCTAAATTCAAGCTCTAAACGAAAGTATGTTGACTAGCATTGTCTTACTGGCAGTTTCTATTACTGCATGTTTTACTGAAATACGTGCCTGGAAAGAACAGTATTCAGGGCTAATTCTGGGGGGGGGGGCGGAATGTTCTACTGTATTTAAACATGATACCTAGTATATATCTATAATATTTAGTGAATAGTTATTCGTAAATCTATTGTAACAGTAATAATTTAATGTGGTCTGTGATACAATGTTAAATAGAAATAGAATAGAAAATTCTAAATAATTCTACACTTAAAACTGACTTAAATCAATACTATACACAATTCTGTAATGAATTTCTCCTCAGGTGGTGTCATTAAAGTTTTATTAACAGATTTTATATTTACTCGTGAACGATATATATATATGCCTATGTACTAGATGGTATGCATCTTATAATACAAGCATTTATAAATCTTGTTCCTTGTCCGCTGCGCATTTGGCTGGGTGTGAATATTCACGTGGGCGTGGTAATTGCTGTAACGTGTGCTGGCGTTCTCCCTCTCACCAGGACATCGTCAGAATCAACCTGGCCGTCGAGAACAAGTCGCTGTACACCAACGGCACGTTTGTCAGCGCTTGTGAGAGAGCAAAGTCTGGCAATGGGCGACTTCACCTGCTCGGGCTGGTAAGCAAGCCGGGATCACACATCAGGCAAATGCGACTTTATTTATGAAAAAGCATACAAGAAAGAATACACCAGCATAGAAATAACATATCTAGACATTGTATAGATAAGTTGTATAAATACTTTGTATAGATATACTGCGTAGATACGTTGTATAGATATGTTCGTGACCATACTGCAAGACATCCTCTGCTAATAATGTTGGATGTTTCTTTCTATTTTCTTCGTTGGCCAGGTCTCCGATGGCGGTGTCCACTCCCACATTGACCACCTGCTCTGTATGCTGGAGGGTGCCAAGATGAACGGCGTGAAGGATTGCTTCGTGCAATACTTTGGTGATGGCAGAGACACGATACCGACCAGTGGAGGTAAGGGCCTGTTTGTACCTACCAGTGGAGGTGAGGGTCTGTTTGTACCTACCAGTGGAGGTAATGGAATTGGGTTCTGTGCTTGTACAGCCTATCTCGCCCAGCAACATGTAATATAATAGCCACGTAGTAATATCCCAGAACTTTTTTTCAAGTCTTTTAAAAAAAAAAAAGGGGCAAAAAAAAATACACACCAGTCCCGTTTGTGGCCAGTGTCATTGTTGCATGGCGTAACACTAACAAGCATATACATGATCTCTACTAGTATACACCTTGTTTGTGTAAGCAGTGGGTGGGTGGGGATGGGGGCCTTCAATGCACAGCAACATCGGGGCGAAAATGCTTGCAATTAAGATGCTAACCAGCTAGCTGCGGTGGGTTGCAACGTACCATTGCTCCTAATATTTTTTCAAGGCTGGTTTCCAAGACAATGGGTTGCTGCTTGTCGGGCATGTCCAAATGCATTTTGAAAATGCCTTTTGCCATTTGAATGGCCCATTCCTTCGGCCCTTTACTTGCAAGCCTGCGAAAAATGTCTGTGGATGCGTAAAACATATCTTTAGCCGCACGTATAGTCAAGTACATAATGTAGATGAAGAGATAGAACCCTTGGTTTCATCGAAATCACCAGAAAACAAATAAAACGAAAAAAAAAAGACGATCCACCCCACGTTGGCGGCTTTAGCATGGCCGGCGTTGTCTTTGGGTCGGAATCACCGACGAGCATCTCGATTGCTGATGGATTCGTTGATCCTGACTGTTTGTGTTTGGTCGGATCAGCTTGATCTCGAGCCACCGACCACTGCTACGTGGCGATTCAGAGGACGGGATCCAATATGGCGCCCGCGCCTCAGGGCCAATCACCGGTGGTTGCTATGCCGCCCGGGCGTTGAGGCCCGAGGTCGACGTGATAGACGTTGGACGATGACGTTCAAACGTTAACCGCTACCCGTAAAAACTCACTCCAGTACACCGCCAACATAACCTTCACACTAAATATATATATATAGTCGTCGCCGCGCCTATATATAAGGCAATGTGATCCACAAAAATCTAATCTATGGTGTGGGAACAGATATCATGATGCAAAAACCGCTAACCCTAAACCGCTAATCGCTAACGCCTAAACCTGTTCCTAACCCTAACCCCTAATCCCTAACCCTAACGCCTAACCCTAACCCTAATCATACACCGCTAACCCTAACCCTAATCCTGACCCTAATCCTAAGCACTGATCCAACACTATGCTGCCGACGTGCGGCAGCACTCCGCTCCAACGCCCGGGGGATAGAATTACCCCGCCGCCATCACGACAGCTTGTCTTTGTGTATGAACGCAGTCCCGTAATAGGTTACAACGAAACGTGAACGCGGTGAAAGTTAGTTTTGGCGGTTTGTTTGTCGGATCAGGATCATATGAATCGATCAGACGGATTCGTCCACAAACATACAGCGCTGCCAGTGGTGACTTTTGAAAATTTGGCTCAAAAATTTCATGCCGATCTCATTCACCAACATAAAATTCAAAGTGAAAATAGCATGCTTTATTTATGTCTTATATGCATGTTATGTAGTATGCTATAAGTGGAAAATAAAAGGATGCACTTGATGCTAGCATATGAGCCTATTCCTGAAATCTAAATGGAGTCTAAAATACACAGTTTGAAGCAGCAATGTATTTAATTAGCTGCATCTGACAGTAGTCAGATGCCAGGGCTTGTAGAATCGCTTGATCGCCGTCGTGCGTGCGTCCGTGCCGTGAGCGGTACCCGTGCGGCGTCCGTCCGTCGCGTCAACAGTTGGGCCACAAAATCTTAACACGCTTGACGTAACCGGTCAGCGAAATATTCGGTCGACGCGTCGGGGGGATGCGTCAAACGAGTTGGGCTGTCCACCGAGCTGGGGGTCAAAGGTCAAAAGGTCAAGAGGTGTAACAAGACAGGGGGAACATTCCCTCCTTAAAGCATTAAGGTATAGGGAGGCAATGCAGAATTGCGGCACCCACCCCAAATCTAAACGGCTCCGACCCCCTAGGCTGCGTGATAGTCGGTGTTAGCCATCAATGGTATGCGAAAAGCCACAACTGTGTGCCGAAATTGGAGTGCACAGGCAAAGTCAATGGGCACAGGGCAGATTTCAGACCATTTTCTGAGGAATGGTCTGAGCGGAGCGATTGGGAAAAACTTTATTTGTTTCAAGCGGTGACCCTAAGCATTTTTTATGGCAATTAAATTGAAAGAGGACATGAAATTACTTTGCTGGCTGACATGCAGAGACGTAAGTGTCGATAACCCTTTGACCCTCAACGAGGAGAGTTAAACATGGATTTGTTGAACTGTTAACAAAGGATTGACACTGGGCTTTGCTATTAGAGCCCCCTGCGCCCCACCCTCGCCCGCCTTCGACCCCCCCCCACCCCGTCCCCCCGCCCCTTTACCCCCATCCGCCGCCACGCGCGCCTCCCCCCCACCCTCCCCCTACCCGTCCATGCTGGCGATAGTGGACGTGGTGCCTAGCAATAGATGTGTACGCAACTGCGTGTCTGCCAGATCTGCGCCTAAAACAAAGGTGTCGTACTACGCACGGACTGAAAATTTTACGTTTAATGAATCGTTAGCAACAGACCTCAGATGAGCCCAGACGCTCTGCGGCTCTTGTTTGCGTAATTGGGCGATGTATTTTTCACCGTATTTTAATCAAAATCATCTTGTCCAGTACATTCACCAAAAACGACAACGTTTTTGCTGCTCGCCGCTCCATGTCACCACCGTGCGCAAAATTCACAAAAGGGTCAAATTTTTTCACAAACCAAATAATCACGTACACCAGACATAGTACATGACATCCACGATTACCCAGATGAAACCCTCCGGCAGAGCGTGCGCGACGGAACTGTCGGCTTGCGCGTTCACGCGCAGCTGCGATGTATCTGTCAACCGTCGGCTGCGCGTCGGGCAGGGGGGAGGGCGCGCGGTGCGATGTATGCGTCACCCGTTCGCCTCGCGTCATGCCGCCTGTGATAGATCTGTCAAACCGGTCGGCTCGCGCTCAACGTGCCTGGCGATGTATCTATCAACCGTCGCTCGCAGCACGCGCCTGCGATGTATCTTATCAACGTCGGCTCGCGGTCACGCGCGGCGCTGCGATGTATCTGTCAACCGGTCGCTTGCGTCACGCGGACTGGCGATGTATCGTGTCAACCGTCGCTCGCGTCACTGCGCGCTGCGATGCTATCTGTCAAACCGTCGTCTCGCGTCACGCGCCTGCGATGGATCTGTCAACCGTCAACGTGTCGTTGCAGTGGGATACGTCAAGAAGGTGCAGGACCACATGAAGGCGAACAACTACGGCACGCTGGCGACCGTCGTCGGCCGCTACTTCGCGATGGACCGGGACAAGAGGTGGGAGAGGATCAAGATCGCCTACGAGGGTCTCGTGCAGGGCATCGGCGAGACATGCGCCGAGTCCGACGTCATCTCGGTGAGCGGGAGACGTGAGAGCGGCCGGAGAGTGCGAGAGGGAGGAAGGGAGAGAGAGAAGGGGGGAGGAAGGGAGACAGAGGGAAGAAGGTGAGGTTGAGAGGGAGGAAAGAAAGAAGAGAGGAAGGGAGAGAGAGAGAGGGGGAAGAAGGTGAGGTTGAGAGGGAGGAAGAGAGGGAGGAAGGGAGAGAGAGAGAGAGGGGGAAGAAGGTGAGGTTGAGAGGGAGGAAGGGAGAGAGAGAGAGAGGGGGGAAGAAGGTGAGGTTGAGAGGGAGGAAGAGAGGGAGAGAGAGAGAGGGGGAAGAAGGTGAGGTTGAGAGGGAGGAAAGAAAGGAGAGAGAAGGGGGAAGAAGGTGAGGTTGAGAGGGAGGAAGAGAGAGAGAGGGGAAAGAAGGTGAGGTTGAGAATGAGGAAGGGAGAGAGAGAGGGGTGAAGAAGGTGAGGTTGAGAGGGAGGAAGGGAGAGAGAGAGATAGGGAAGAAGGTGAGGTTGAGAGGGAGGAAGAGAGAGAGAGGGGGGAAGAAGGTGAGGTTGAGAGGGAGGAAGGAAAGAAGAGAGGGAGGGACAGGGTTTGTGTGGAACGTAGATGATGGTAGCATGTTTTGTGTGTGAGAGCAAAAGGAGAAGGGGGAGGGGGAGAGAGTAAGATTGAGAGTGAAACAGCGATGACAAAATCAAATCGTGTGAAAGAACCTCTTGAGCGTGGACGCGCATATAGCTTTGCCATTCCCTCTGTTACAGGTTTGCAGTTCTTCTGTTTTACGGGGTTTCCTGCTCTTTTGTTTATAGTTGATGCAAAAGCGCTACGACATGACGGGCGCCGAGCGTCAGACCGACGAGTTCCTGAAGCCGATCATAGCTTCACAGGATGGCCGCATCAAAGGTAACCACGGCGACGATGGTCTCACAACGATGATCCCGCTCCAGAGAAGAATTATATTAAATAATATAATAGATATAATTTTTGAAAAGCAAAATATAAAATAATTCGAATAAAAATGTACTTAAACTAATTACTTATGTAAAATTCACATGTGAAGAGGGTGAAATGGTACGTTATCAGAGGGGCGGTATTGATTTATTGATGGGGGAAGCCTTGATAAAAAAATCTACTTTTTGTACATAATTGTCGGATATCTTTAGTTACCTTTTTAGCTCATCTGACATAGTCAGATGCAGCTTGTAGAATCGCTTGATCGTCCGTCCGTCCGTCCGGTCGGTCGTCCGGTCGTCCGTCAACAGTTGGGCACAAATCTTAACCGCTCGACGTACGGTCACGATATTCGGGTCGTTGGGGGGGATCGTCAAAACGAGTTGGGATGTCGAAGCTGGGGGTCAAAGGTCAAAGGTCAAGAGGTGTAAAAGAAGGGGGAACATTCACTCCTTAACTTAAGGTATAGGGAGGAAATGCAGAATTGCGGCACAAATCTAAACGGCTCGACCTAGGCTCGTGATAGTCGGTGTATAGCATCATGGTAGGAAAAGCCATCACTGTGCCGAAATTGGAGGTCACAGGTCAAAGGTCAGTGGGCACAGGGCAGATTTTAGACATTTTCTGAGGACATGGTCTGACGGAGCGATTGAAAAACTTTTTTGTTTCAGCGGTGACCTAGCATTTTTATGGCTTTATTGAAAGGACCATGAAATGTCCCTTCTGCTGACATGCGAAGAGTAAGTGTCGGATAACCTTTTGACCCTCAAGAGGAGGGTTAAACTTGGATTTGTTGACTGTCTGTTAGAAAGAATTTGACTGCCAGGTTTGCTAGTAGAATCTATACATGCCTGGATGTATGAGGCTACAATGTCACAGTGAAATTTCAAAAGCTAAATTTGGTTAAAGAAGGTGTATGTTCCTTAAATCGTATCATTTCTATGTCATTCTGTACTGTCAGTATGTTACATGTAACGTATGCCACTGCCAGTGGCTGCTGCCAGTGCATGTGTTGGGGCAGTTTTTGCCTGCGTTAATTGGTTGCAGGTGGCAGCTCTCTATTGCAATTTGCAGCCTGTAGGCTTGCGTAGGTAAATGGATGAGTGCTTACCTATTCTGTCTTGCAAATAGTTGTTGCTACTACGAATGATGGGAGCTTCCATCTTTAATCTGAAGACACTTAAACGTACGCGCCATCTCGTGGCAACTTTCATAACGATCCCAACGAACATTCTTTTGAGAAGGTTCCTGATACCATCCCTGTGCATTCCACTGTTTCGGCGTGTATGTGAACACATTTGGGACTAACGGGGTTTACTAGAATCCCTCCACTCCACCACAGAGTCACCGCAGTAGACGTTAGATGAGCGCTGTCGCTATGCGGCACTTGTTTCTGTGTAAGGATAATGTGCAAAATAATGTGTGGTAATGCTTCTCAATTTCATCTATCTGCCTGGATCGATTAACGGGCAGCTCTAGACAATCATGCATGTGATAGGGGCATTGTCCAAACTGGCCAACCTAACTCCACCATTGAGGAGGGCATGGTTATCTCATCTAGACAAATAAGTCAGTTGGATATTAATGATGGGGGGATGCTCTGCTGCAGATAACGACACCCTGATCTTCATCGACTTCCGTGCCGACAGGATGAGACAGATCACCGAAGCTTTCGGCGTCAAGACTCAGTTCGAGACTTCTGTCGTGCCGAAGAACATTGTAAGATGATAGCCATTGCTGTTCGGTGTATGTAGGTGGCGCCAGTGTACACCGTCGTCTTGATGATTATATAAAAGGTTCCGATGCATTGTTACATGGTCATACATGTTACGCATTGTAATTGGTTACCCAGCAGAGGCTACAGAAGGAAGAAAGCTATATTAATAAGCTGAGTTTACACTACCGACTTTATGTTGGCAAATTGGAACCAACTTCCCAACTACAACCGACAATGGGCAGTGTAAAGGCGAGACGCGCGAGCGACTGGTCGATAGCAACTAGTTGGGAGATTTAACGTAACGAGTGCGTCCGTAGTGTGTGCCGCGTTACTGATCGGCCACTGTGTTTGCGCCTTGGCAGGCCGTCAACTGCATGACGCGGTACAACGCCGAATGGAGCTTCCCGCTGCTGTTCCCGCCCGTGTCGATGAAGAACGTGCTCGCCGAGGCCATCGCAAACAACGGCGTCTCTCAGTTCCATTGCGCAGGTGAGACGGGCGCCGACGGACGGGTGACTGCAATCCACACGTGCTGATGTGTTGTGCATGTATTACATGTATATTGTGTAGATATGTCTTCTATAAGTGTACATTTATATATGTGTGTGTATATATATATACGTATTATACATATTTATATATCATATATATATTGTGTGTGCTTTAGATGATGAGTATTGTATAGATATGTCATCTATCTATGTATAGATGTGCATTATAGGTTATATTATATTACGATTGTTTTAGATAAGATTATATTACGAATTTATATAAGGTACGTATCGTAGATTTGTGCTGTGCTATGGGGAACAACAGTTTATGAAGCGCGTTGATAATGCCTGCTGTATTAATCTGATTAGAGCGTGTGGGCAGGTGACTTTGTTGTGCACTCGCTTGCTATTTAATTGTCAGATTAGCACCCTGAGCTAATTCTTGTATCGCATGACGAACTGCATGTGCAAATCTCTCGCCCACGCGCGCCTCCTGGGTTCTTCGGGACGTGCGTTCACTTGTCGTTCGCCGTGTTTCCTCGCAGAGACGGAGAAGTACGCCCACGTGACCTTCTTCTTCAACGGTGGCGTGGAGCAGAAATTTGACAAGGAAGAGAGGAAGCTGGTTTCGTCACCTAAGGTTGCGACCTATGACCTCCAGCCGGAGATGAGCTGCGCTGGTGTGGCAGACGAGGTCAGCCTAACGATAAATACCTCTCTTTCACACTCATCCTGCCGAAATGTTTTGTAATAATTTTAAACGTGATTTGTATGATATGAAATTGTAATACTTTTGTACATGTAGTAATAACATAAATAGAGTATACACATGTCCGTGCTAATGCCGGACTGTTTCCTGCTAAACTTCGGTTTACATCGTGGCATTGAACCTTTGGAAAACGAACCTTTATAAAGTACTAGAAAATTCCTGGAAAAATGTTTCGTCTTCAGGAGAACGAGCCCTGTATGATAATAGTGTACGTTGGCGTACTTAGTATATGTAACCTATGTAGAGAATTCTTGTGTTCGAGCTAATGCCGCTACAATTCCCGTTTCTCTCTCGCTAGATGGTGGCGACGATCAAGTCTGGGAAGCATCCGTTCGTCATGTGCAACTTTGCCCCACCGGACATGGTCGGCCACACAGGGGTCTACGAGGCCACGGTGAAGGCAGTCACTGCCACCGGTGAGTGAGTGTGTCTCGTCCCTGCATGCGTGTGATGCGAGGTGGGGTCCGGGTGTCAGCGTGGTCTCACCTCACACGCGAGGCAGAGGTCAGGGTGTCAGCGTGGTCTCACCTCACACGCGTGACGTACCAGTGGAGGTAATGGAATTGGGTTCTGTGCTGTACAGCCTATCTCGCCCAGCAACATGAATATATAGCCACGTAGTAATATCCAGAATTCAGTCTTTAAAAGGCATAACACACGAGTCCCGTTTGTGCAGTGGTCATTGTTGCATTGCGTAACACTAACAGCATATACATGATCTCTACTAGTATAACCTTGTTTGTGGTAGCAGTGGGTGGGTGGGGGGATGGGGGGCCTTCATGCACCAACTCGGGGCGAAATGCTTGCATTAGATGCTAACCAGGAGCTGTGGGTTCAACGTACCATTGCTCCTAATATTTTTCAAGCTGGTTCAAAAATGGTGCTCTTGTGCATTCCAATCATTTGAAAATGGCCTTTTCCATTTGAATGCCCATTCCTTGCCCTTTACTTCAAGCTCAATGTCTGTGGATCGTAAAACATCTTACCACGTATAGTAAATACATATGTAGAGAAGAGATAGACTGGTTCATGACATCACCACATCACCACGTTGCGGCTTTACATGGGGCGCGTTTGTTTGGTCGGATCCACGGATCTCGATCTGATGGATTCGTTGATCTGACTGTTTGTTTGGTCGGATCACTTGATCTCGAGCCACCGACCCTGCTAGCGTGGCGGATTCGAACGGGATCCAATATGGCGGCCCGCGCCTCAGCCAATCACGGGTGTTGCTATCCCCCGGGCGTGGAGGGAGGTCACGTGATAACGTTGACGATGACGTTCAAAACGTTAACCCTACCGGTAAACCTCACTCCAACACCGCCAACACTAACCTTCACACTAAATATATATATATGTGTCGCCGCGCTATATATAGGCATTGTGATCCACAAAAATTAATCTATGGTGTGGGGACAGATATCATGATGCAAAAACCCTAACCCTAACCCTAATCCTAACCCTAACCCTAACCCTAACCCTAATCCTAACCCTAACCCTAACCCTAATTAAAAGAGGGGGCCTCCGGAACTGTGGGGGGTACAGTGATTTGCTTTAAAATCTATGCTGTAGCACTTAAACCAATAATTGTGGTATTATGTAGAAGAGATGAACGCACG